AAAGAAAGAAAGAAAGAAAGAAAGAAAGAAAGAAAGAAAGAAAGAAAGAAAGAAAGAAAGAAAGAAAGAAAGAAAGAAAGACAAGTAGAACTTTTTCATAAACTTAGTGGAAAACCCCCAGACTAACAGTTATTAATTAGGAAACACAATGTGTAAAAACCTAACTGTTCCCTTCCTAAACTGTAATCTATGCGTGTTTCCTCAAAAATGATCATGCATCATCTCAATTCATTGCTTTTTAAACATCTAATAAGTCTATAGAGCTTTTCCCTACCTCCTGCTCTTCAGATATGCTAGGGTTGAAATCCCCACAATTCCTAGCTAGCATGATTGAACTGGGAATTCTGGGGATTGCAAATGCAATAGAGCTGAAGAGTAGCAAATGGGGAAGACTGGGGGTTTGGACTGAAGGCTTGCTACTGTTGTTACTGTTATTAATCTATTGAGCAGTTGCAGTTCTGTTAGACAATTAAATTTGATTTGGTTAAGTCAGAGATGGCAATCAATGACATGAGGACAATATGTGTCCCTCAGTGCAATTCTAGGCATCTCATGGTAGGCACCTAAAAGCGAAGAAAGAGAATATTTAAAAAGAGGAGGGGAAAAAAGAGGAGAAAACAGAGGGAAAAGGACAGGAAAAAAACATCCCATCATTTTGGCTTCGGGCTTACCCACCATCCATCTGTGAATTAGGTCCTCGATGAACAAGTTTACCAACCAGTATATTAAACCAAAATAAACAAGTACCTATCAGAAGGTCTTATAATCGGGTACCCTTCAGATGTTTGATGTTGGTCATCCCAACTGGCAGTTCTGAGTTACAGCCTCAGTGGGGATGATCTAACATTGGAGGAAGAATCCAGGGACAGCTAGACTTAACCACACTGATGGAGTGGACCATCACTGTCTCTTTCCTCTCCCTTGTAATGCATCTAAGAGGTGGAAAAGCTTCCATTAAATCACTAGTTCAAAGCTGTAGCTCTAATAAGTCACTGAATATTTGCTTCCATGAAGTTTCAACAAGTATACAGAAGAATGGGTTTAACTGAATAACTAATATATACTAATACACCCTAATTAATCATCTGCATAAACTGATTTCTGACTCTGGAATACTTTTGGTCTAGCTACCATGTCTACCCTGCTACAAGAAATACTTCTGGGATCCTGGGTTTTTCTGTTACCGTAACAACACAGGCAACCAAATATAAGTAAGTCTCTTTTTTCACAGCAAGTAAATTCTATATTATTGTTTCCATCCTAGAGCTCTGTGAGTTCTGAGACTCTTAATAGCTAATCGTTCTTGAACAACTCTGACATGTTTAAAACCGCTAATTCTCCATTACAAATGTTTCTGCTGTTTTCTTGTAAAGCTTTGGGAAGCTTAATGTATTTGCTGAGATATATTTCCAAAACAAGCCTACCTACATAAATTGTCTGGCCTATAAGAGACAGGAATGCCTATCAAATTTATGGCCCAGATCCAGGTATATTACAACAAAAGTAACTGATTCTTAGCAGTTACTAACTTAAGCCCCACTGCCTTAAGTGAACTATAGCTGGATTAAGATCTTTTAAAAAATGAAAAATGGCTTTAGAATAACATAATCTCATATAATCCTATAGTTTTTAAATTACTTTGGAATATACATAACCCGCTTAATTTTTTTATATCATTATTTTATAGAATCTGGAGTAGCAAGTTTCCATGTTATCTCCATTAAGACCAAGTATGTTGCAGGGCACATTAAATTGAATTAGGGAGAGAGCCAATCTTTCTGAGAAAATTCACTATTATCAACATATTCTTTAAATAAAGAAGCAGCTTTATTTATGCATAAATGTGTATGCATATATACACACAGAGAGATATATACACATATGTCCTTTTAAGGACAACATAGGGTTTTTAAAATAAACTCTTCATGAGGCAAGAAAGTTAAAAATTCACCAGAAAAGGAAAGGCAAAGTTATGATTCGTGTTTAGAAACCTGCTAAATTGCAGCCTTAGACAGACTGCTTTCAAATATGCAAATTGGATCCTATTAAGAACAGAAGTGGTGCCAAGGACTCTTTTGAAGCTTGTCAAGAAGAAGAAACAAGCAAATAATTGTTGGTCCTCTAACAGCTGGATATTATTTTTCCAAAAGTAAACTAAAACTTTTTTTCTATATTTAGTTAGATAGATCCCAAGGTAAGTAGAAATCTGTTCTTTCAAAAATTCTCAGCAGTCTTTTGCCTAAACAAGGACTTCACATTCAGATTAATAGCTATTCCCCTTCCCTCCATCCCCCCCCCCAAAAAAGGTATTCAATCATCTTATCAGACTTGGTTATTTTATTATACTCCTTGAATATGTCACCCAGGCAGAAAGCTATGAGTTTGCCTCAACATTTTCTTTCAGGCAAATTGTGTTAAAACCCTCCTGTGTAAATCAGGGGTTGGCAGGGGCTGCCTTTAATATTGTGGGGAAAAGTGAGGGCTCCCCCAGATGGGACCATGTTAGACAGGCTTATTTATTTGATATAAGTCCTGCCCTAACAAAATGCAACACCCTTCAAGAACTGAAAAGTTAAAAACATAAAGTGATTAATTTTAATTATGAAAGAGATGCATCTTTATAGATTTTCCTAAAGCAGAGAGAGTGAGGGCCAGTTAAAGTAAAGCTCTCAGAGAGTCTTAGTGGAAGTGATAGTTCTTCTAACTGTCAGGCCCAAATTACTTGGGGCTGTAACGATTGCTTAGAATATGGCTGATGGATAACTAAGAACCATTACAGATCCTTTCATACAAATAATCCCTTCACTGAAGTTAAAATGTGCTGTAGCAAATGTCAGTTCTTTTTTGCTAAAACTGTTGCAACACACACTATATTCAAGACAAGTGAACTGAATCACTTTGATATTTATTATAATTGACCAGTTGCCTCATTTTCTTTCTGCTGACTTGTTCCAGTACAGTTTTGCATTCAGTGCTGTGGGTTAAACTGCTCAGCATACCTGATGCTGTCATGGCTATTGAAGTGATTTGTGAATTTACACTTCATGGACAAATACACCTTGGATGTTTTGATGGAAAATAAAAGATGGGTAACCAGCTTAGTAGAGATGGTCAAGGTAGTTCCATGCCCTCCCAATAGATGGAAAGAATAATTTCACTGGTGAAAATTGCTGAAACCTAGCCTTCATTCAGGTCTGATCAGTGTCTGATGCCCATCACGGCTTACCTCCTAGAATACCATTGGGCCACCTAAATTCAAGCAGTACTAAAGTATTGCTTGGCTTCCAATCTCTTTCAGATTTACTTTATGTAAGTGTATTGATTTATAAGGGTGGGAAGGAATCTAGCTTTCAGCACCCCATGACTGAAGAGACAAACCATTGGTGGCAGTCAACAGAACGATCAGCTCTGGGTTACATGAAAGGTAGCTTGTTCAGCCCCCAGTAAAATCCAGATCTGGACCTAAACAAAGCTAAATACAGCTCAGGTGGTATTAATACCTTGGAGACCATCAGATTACAAATTTAATTAATTTATATTACATTTAATTAATAAATATTACATTTTTTTTTAGCTCTGAATTTGTTGACAAAAAAATAGAAGAATTCTTTGCATACTTTGAGGAAAAACTCCGGAATTTGTCTGAAGAAGAATTTCTTGCTCAGGTATAGATGATATAAATGTATGATTTAGATGACAGGAAGGCAACCTTATGATCACCAGATATTTTGAACCACAAATCTCATTAATCTTAATTTAATTAATGGCAAGAGGTAATAGGAACTATAGTCCAAAACATCTGGAGGATGTCAAGTTACTTGCCCCCAATTTAAATAGCATATTACTTTCAAGGAATTTGTAGCAGTCACTCTGGCTGCTAACTAAATGGCCCTGCTCATATGATGCACTTAAGTGAGTCATGGGTGGTGATGGTAAGTGTGTCATAAGAACTCTCTAATCTGCACCAATGACTGAGTTAAATTTAGTCCCAAACAAATCCTGTTCATAGGTATTTGGTTGACTATCTTATTCTGAGATTGATACAATGTCCTAGAGAGGACTCATGAAAATGGTGCCACTCCTATCTGCTTAGATGTTCTTACCCTTGCCCTGAATGGCCACCAAAAGAGAAGGAACAGACAAAGAGACCCAGTCATTATAAATCCTCTTCTTTTCTTTATTGTGAGATAGATAGATAGATAGATAGATAGATAGATAGATAGATAGATATCAGAAATATATAAGCAAAATATATATTCTGTTTTTAACTTTGCAAGGCCACCCAGAGTCATTTTTGGAGCTGGGTGGCCTAGCAATTGGCTAAAAGAATAGATTAAATATTTTCTTTTGTGAATAGTAAGGAACAGTATGTTTCACAGGTCTCTGCACTAATCAAGCTTAAGCGAACAGATGACTCCCATCTTGGAGAAGAGGTAGACAGAAACTGGAATGAAGTGATTACTCAGCAATATGTCTTCGACAGACTTGCTCGAGAGGTAATAAATGAAAAGTATTACTGGCTTCATTCTTTCACTATTTGTAAAACTTTATCAGCTATGTATGCATGCATACTTTCACACACACTTTTTATAATTAAACCATAAAGGCACTGATTCACAAACCAGCAACTATAGAAAATTGAGACATTTTGTTCTGCTGGCCTGAAGGGATAGAATCGGGGTTTAAGTGTTTCCCTGCAAATGGTGAAGGCATGGTAAAATGGAAAGATATGAGATCTAGGCTTCTTAAAATCATGTTCCTGAAGAAAAATAAATACACAACTCATCACAAGTGTCAACGAACAGCTTGTTTTCCACATGAATATTATCTCATTGTAGGTCATGTGTGAGACAGCTGCAAGTGAAGCCTTCAAAATCTCAAAAAGTGGTTAATGGGAAAAAATCTTAAATGCAGCCATCACTGCTGTAACTTTTTTTTAGTTAGGATTAGTGAAAATAAACATCTAGTCTGCCTTTCTACTCTTAACCCAGAGGAGACTGTTCTGACCCATTATACTTCTAATCCTCACATGTTTCTTTTTTCTTCTTTTTGTGATATGTCAAAACTATGCATTCACGAGAGGCATTTTGCAAGCACTAGGATATGGCAAATATATAAGGCTACAGCAACTGTGGCACAGAGGGGATCTCAAAAGACAATTCCTGTCTTTTTCAGATTAGGTTTTTACTTGGAAGTGTCCCTACGTGGGCATGCATAGAGCTTCAACCTTAAAGTATATACTGAAGCATAAGGTACAATAAAGAAGAGGTTTTTTGTAGTATTCAAAAGGTGAAAAAACAGAATGTGTTTATTTAATAGCACATTTTGGTTCTGATATAATATCCTTATTAACTAACTTAAGGTTCCATCCTTCTTCCACCAGGAAATTCCAAATAAGATGTGTGAAGTTATCAGGCATCTCCCATTCAGGATTTGAAAACCTTTTAACTTCACTAAATGCACATGATACTGTTTTGGACCTCTTTCCTCATCAACAGCAGACAAAGCTTCATTGGCTTCCTTTTTTTCAGTCCAAAAGAGAATGAGACTGGGAAAAAAAAAAAAAGATGGCTGAAAGATGGAAGGAAAGGAACTTCAGAGAGGCAGAAGGATGACTCTGCTTCAGTCCCACCCCATACCATCATCTGGCCAACAGACAGATTCAGTGCCCTGCTATGAATCACCATATAACCATAGAATGTATACATTGAATCCTTCTATTACAGAAAGACTTATATTTCTTTTTAGTTCTACATTTTTTGTTACGTCCTGTACGTTTACTACTGTATTTCAAGAGTTCATTAAGAGTAAACAGCAGCAAGAATGCTGCAATTATTTCTGGACTATAGTACCTCAAATACATCTGGAAAATGTGAAGGCTGAATTGTGGAATTCTTTCTCACCAACAGCAGAAGGCCCTCACAGACGTGAAATGTGCATACAGGAAGAAAACTAGTCTGTGATTCTTCTCTATGATATAGTTACATTTGACTTTTTCATATATATTGTGTCAAAATCGTTTTGCAATTCCTTAGGATGTTTCCCCACCCTTTTTACAAAAGTCTTCTTTTGTTTTACCATCTTCTCTGGGTAAAGAATTTCTTTCACATTTTTTTGAATGGTGTGTAACTTTATAGTTCAGGATGGTGGAAGATGCTGCAGATGATATTACTGCCTCCTGTTACTCATCTTTCCATTATTCTGAAGCCTCCCTAACTGCCCATACTCACCAGCCCAGTGGGAGGAGTTCCTTCATATGCCTTCCCTTCAGGATTTAATTAAAGCAGGAGAAGCCAAGGAGGCTATAAAGTGCTGGAGACAAGATTATACAATGAAAGACAGGATAGCCACTTGTACTCTTAGCCACCTCACAATTGAATAAGTACAAGAGCACCTCTTGCTACTAGTGAGGAATTAACCAAAGTCCTCTTTTCCTTGGAAAATAATTTGCTTTTAAATTTTATTTCAGTCAAATTGAATGACAAATAGGGGTGAGGAAAAGAGATTGGGGGTGCTGATATTGGTTTTATACTTATTAGGCTGGTTTCTATAAAAGATATACCTCTTCAGAGTCATGTACTTTGGAATAAAGTGGTCTCCAATTACACTATTTTTTTAAAATCAATAATTTAACATCCTTCCTTGATGTAAAACCACAAGCAAGAACAAGTAACAGTGTAACAAAACCAACAAATGTTGCTAACTTTCAAAAGTACAGTAAGAGTTTTCAGCTGGATAGCAAGATTAACCTGTTATAGACAAAACAGCAATTTCAAGACTAGGAGCAAATTTATGAATGCTTATGATTTTTTGTGAATTACAGATCCAACTTCTACATTTTTCCTCTCCACATATTTGCCAACTCCAAAACTCCAGGTGGCAGTACCTAAAATTTGGGTGATCTTGAAAAATTAAGCAGTACTTAGATGGAGACTACCAGAAATTCCAGGAGAGTGGGTTAGCCTGGGTAATTGAAAATATACTCCAAGGAGGAGGAGGAAGAGGAGGAGGAGGCCGTGGTGGCAGAAGAAGAAGAAGAAGAAGAAGAAGAAGAAGAAGAAGAAGAAGAAGAAGAAGAAGAAGAAGAAGGACTTCCACATTGTCTGCTTTACCAAACCTCATCAATGCTAGTCACTTCTGGAAACCTATGCTAAAGAAGGTCTTGTGAAGTTGCCATCTCAGACTTAGTGCAGATTATATACATAATCATGTTGAGGTTGGGTCACATGTTAACACAAACTGGAAGGACTGGAGTGGGCAGAGTGTTTCCTTTTTCAAGTAGTCCTCCATGTGGTGTGAAAATCTCCTTGTTGAGGACTTCCCGGTTTTCTTTTTCCTGTAAAATAAATAGTTAAAAAAAACAACACCACTTTCTGGACTTTTGTTCCAGGCACGTTTTTTGTTGTTATTAAGTAAAGAACAAAAGTGAGTCAAAGTGGTTATACTGTAAAACTTGCATATCTTTACTGGGTGATTCTAAGGAATTCTGTTCTTTGTGGCTTATAGATCGTAGCACTGAAAAGCCTTACTAGAACCCAATTGCTTGACTGGTTCCTACATTTCAGGAGAAAGCACAGGAGAGTTTTGAGCATCCATGTAAGTATTTCCAAAAACAAATCTCTCTCTCTCCTATTCTCTCTTTCATACACTCACATACAGTCTATATCTGTGTTAATGAATTAGTGTTAATGGATGATTCGTTATGGGAAAATAATGCCATACTCTTTAAAATGGTAACACTTGTCATTTTGGAATGCAAGGGGTTCTTTCTCTGAAGGCGTTGCTTTCTGATGCTACTTGAAAATAGCATTGTGAGAGGGGTTAGAGAACATGAATTAGGTCTCCCACACTTTCTCTTTTTTGTATCGCATCTACAGTGCATTGTCTACAACTCCCTTTGAAGTGTGATTTATTAGCTAGGCTTGCAGAAAGGAATATTCATGTTACACTGCTTATGTGAAGGTGGCGTGTTAATCAGTTCTGCTTCAGACATTCAAAAGAACAGGGATGTCAGCTGGTTCGTTCACACACACACAAATACAATAATCAGATTTTATAAATATTCAAGGTCTACCTCTACAAACATCCATGAAATTATTTTTGTAACCAGAGCTGTTCAGCACACCTTTAGTTTTCTTCCGTACTTAAGAATAATTTCCCTTCTTGTCACGGCTATTGATATTTTTAAAAACAAAAACAATTTGTCTACATTTCCATTCCTTAATTTTAAAAAAACAAACTCTCCCCGCTAAACATTTTTCTGCTCTTTGGACTGCCTTAAACTCATAGCAACGAAAATAATGTGATCTTAAATTTCACTGAATAAAGACTGAGGTATCAGAAATTAACAAAGGGAAGAAAAGAAAAACTTCCTATATTTAAAGCAGGAGTTGAAAAACACTTCATGGACTAGACACGCCGTGCAGTGATGGACAACTTTTTCTCCCTTTCCCCTGGTAGGGCAATTAAATGTATAATGTCAGGCTACAGAGCTGACAGAGAATTTTAAGGGGCAGCAACTTAGAAGGTAAAACTAATGTATGCTGTGTGCTGTAATGCCTCAGAAAATGGCTTCTTCCTATGGCATCTAATCTTAAGAGTGGGGTTCCTTTCACGTGGATCGAATCTTCTCCCTTCCTTCTTCCCTAAAAATCTGTCTCATGGGAAGTTAAAAAAAGAAGAAATGGGGAGAAGTAAAAAGAGAGAGAAGAAAGAAGAAATTTAAAAAATGATAGAAAGAAAATAGATTAAATTAACAGTTCTGGTCCCTCACATTTCTGGATTCAATATCATCTCCATCTCCCTGTTAAGCAACTACCAAGAGATTTTCTGCCAAGGCAATGTAGCCTTCAGCAGGGAAATTTTCTCCAACTCTGATTTAAACGTAAATAATTTTACCAGTGGCAAAATGGAAATTTCCCACTATAAAGCTGCTTGCCACTTTCAGAGCATTTGCCTCTAAATAACCTGGGGTTTGGGGCAGACTCGTCCCATGTCTGGAGAATCTGTACATCATGAAATCAGTTTTTATTCACCTACATTTTATGGGCCAGTTTGTGATAAGTGTGTTTTTTAATTGTTCTCCAAAAGAATTATCCATTGTTAGGAAATTAGGAAAGTCATTATTAAAATTTAAAAAACAATTGTGTTTGCTGGAAAACAGGTTTTTGTTTAAATTTCTTGATTCCGGGTATTTGCTGACTTTGAATAAGCTTTTGGTTTTTGAATTTTCAGGTGGTGGGCTATGGTAAACAAGAAGGGGACTTAAATGTTAGACATTCTTCCATTGTCCAAGAATCTATGTTTAGCAAAGAACCTCAACTGACCTTTTTGCCTTCTTCTGTGTTGAATGTCCCCTGTATACTGGACATTCAAGCTTTCATCTCAACTCTTAACATTCTTCCTTACCATAAGATGCTAAAATAAACCACAAGATACTAAAATAAACTTTCATCAGCTCACTCTCAAGCTTGTTTGTGTCATGTTTTCACAGCCTGGTCCCCAGAAGTAAACTTTGCAGAGAGGAAGTGAGCAAAAAGCAGGATAGAAAAATTCCATGTAATTTTTTTCAGCATATCCTCAGTGTTTCAACAATACTTAAACATGAGATCCTGTTCAGGTATAATCTACTTCATGGAGATAATGACAAAAAGAGGTTCACCTGACTGCTTGCACCCCTACTATAAAATGCTTTCAAGAGGGACACTCATCTAAAACCAGCTGTATAATATTTTTGTGCCAAATGGAGACTGTTTTTCTCCCATCTGTTCTCTGTTCTTTTTACTGCTTCTTTTACTTTTGCAGTCACATTTGTTTTATTTTTTCTCTTCAGGGCTGAGTGGTTAGTAATATTATTGTTACTTATTTCCTTGAAAGCTTTGATGAAAGGCATGACCCAGGAGGTTTGTTGTTTGTTGTTGTTGCATATTTAAACTTATCCTATATTAGCAAAGTTTGAGACAGTTTGGTGTAGTGGTTAAGGTGCTGGTCTAGAAAGCAGGAGACTGTGAGTTCTAGTCCAGCCTTAGGCATGAAAAACTGGTTGGGTGACTTTGGGCCAGGCACTCTCTCTCAGCTCAACTCACCTCACAGGGTGGTTGTTGTGGGGAAAATAGGAGCGGGAAGGAGTAATGGTATGTTTGCCACCTTGAGTTGTATGTGAAAAAAAAAAAAGTGGGATAAAAATATTTTTTAAACAAGGCAACCCCTTTGCAGGAAAGCAGAGATCAGAATGGCCAGAAGCAGGCAATATGGGTCAAGACAGATAAATGGTTTGGTTTCAGAAGGCATTTGTATTCTTATTTACTGACCACATGTATAGAATGTGGAGGCAATTTTGGATACAACCATAAAAAGTGTTATTGAATCCCTAGTTCAGCTAGCCTGACTTTCTGAAGCATTTCTGGCCAGCATAAAGTTACGTTGAAAGTAAAAATTCAAAAGTTAACATTTTGCCTACAAACAAACTGTGCTGATGGTTCAGATGGAAAGGCACACAGAATGCTAATTTAATTTTAAAATATGTTTAAATACTGTAGCATTAAATATCAAGATTTAATTCATTTCATTAGATTATAACCCAATGTTTCTCAACCTTGGCAACTTTAAGATGTGTGGACTTCAACTCCCAGAATCCCCCAGCCAGCATGCTGGCTGAGGGATTAGTCCACACATCTTAAAGTTGCCAAGGTTGAGAAATTCTGGTATAATCTATAGCCTCTAGGAAGTTAATGTAGTCTCCACAGCACTGTGTCTTCCTATTTCTTCTTCACAACAACCTAGTGGAGATATGTAGAGCTGAGATGTCAGGAACAGTCTATCGCCACCCAGTGGACTTCTGTGGCTTTGAGCAGGTATGAACCCAGGAATCCCCAGTCATCACCTCACCTTGACCAAGATACCATATCGGTTCTTCCTTTGAGCCTTCTGGATCCATATGCTTTGTGATGGAACTGGAGAAATTATAGCATCGTTTAAATTTCTATAAATAGCTTCATGTAGATATTTGAAGACAGGTGGTCTGTCTCTTGCATTCAATAATCCTGAAGGGAGCTGAGAAAAAGTGGTGCCATAAAGTACGTTAAAAATGAACAGATTTGTGACACGTTCGCATCTGCTATAGGTTGACTGACCTTCCTAATTTATTTGACACATTTCTATACTGCTGTAATCACGTGTACATAACATTAATGAAACAACATAAATATTCATGGTACACACAGTCTACATAGGAATTAGCAAAATTAAAATCAATATCTCTACTAAAAGAACCAGAACAACATACAAAAACAGATTATCCACATGATAGCATCAACCTATTTAATCCATAAAAGCCCTTTGGAAGATCTCTATTTTTACCAACTTCTGGAAGGTAACCAGTGTTTGGGCCTCACCTTAAGAGAAGGCTACTCCATAGTATGGGGTCCATAGTGCTTCTTTGCTCCTTCCAGAAAGATTGGTGCTACCAGAAATACTAAATAACTGGTTTATTGTTACCCAAATGGAATATTGCAAGCAGTATTATCTTTTTAATCAGCAATATATGTGGATGGCTGGTACATTATTATTACATATATCTGGATGGATGGTACATTATTATACCTGGATGGCTGGTTTATTATTATTATTTTATTTTATTTATCAAATTTAAACAGCTGCCCATCTCACAAGAAGTGACTCTAGGCGGTATACAGCAAAAAAAGTATAAAACTATAAACATATGAAACATGATTCTGCAGTCATATTAACAACAACAAAAAAAAAGGTATACACAAGAGATTTGATCACCAATGGAGCCATCTCAAGATCTCAACGGTCCCCTGAGAGCCCCAGGCCTGATGACATAATCAGGTCTTGAGGGACTTCCAGAAAATCAGCAGGGATGGAGCTGACCTCACTTAAGGGGGAAGAATGTCCCATAAGGCATATTACATTATTTAATCAGCAATATGTCTGAATGGATGGTACATTATTACATTATTACAGATAATATTGGTACATTTTTATCTTTCTAGTACAGGCATGGCTTCAAAGCAGATGAGAAGCATTGTTGCCACTTAACAGAAAGCCAAAAGAGAATTAAAAGTAAAAGAGAGAAAGGAGATTCTGCTTCTCAACTTTAAATAAAAGCTTCCCACACCCAAAATATTTACGAATTTCTTTAATCGACCAAATATTATGCATTTTTTCCTCCCCAAGTTCAGATCACCATATATGTGAGCCCAAGGAAAAATAGCCATCTGCAGTAACTGCCCACTGTTTCTGCATCATTGCTTTAGCCTTACCTCCTCCTAATGAACTGTTTGCCCTGATAAAGTTACCAATTTCAAGGTGGATAAGGCCAAAACAGGGCAACAAAAGGACCTAAAGTTCCATATTGATGGCCCCATTAGGAAAAAAAGGCTCGCTCTCTTGCATCTGGCAACTTGATGGATGTCCCTGCTGAGCCTCTGAAAAGGGACCCAGAAATTGATTTTAAAGGATGGGCACGCTCAACATCTTCTATATCCTAAAGAGCAATCCGTTGGGTTGGTTTCTAGTTGCAATTCAGTAATAAAGACAATCATATCTGTTAAGCATTTGGGAATAGAGCAGATATTGGGGATTGACATAAGTACAGACCCAAAGAGGTTTATGCCAACAAGGCCATAATTATCTATGTTCTTTAGTGTTTGTTCTTCTAAGGTAAAATGGCATGCAGTAGAACTACCTCCTAGCAAAGATAGCTCCAGTAATTCTATCAGCGATGAAGATGAGAGTCTAATTAGATTTATCATCTAAGAACTTTACCTACCTTCCATCCAAGAACACAGGTCTATTTCGGAAACAGTGGATATGCTGAAACTAACTCTGGTTGGTAACGCTGGAAGCTGAAGTTCTAACACATTTGGGGAACTCAGGTTGGGAAAACTTTATTTAACATGATATCCATCTGATATTGATGTCAACCAAACTTGTGGGACAGACTGGATGGATTAGCCGTAAATTCCTGGCAAGAATGGCTGTTAGTCTCATTCAGGTTATTATGATACTAAAAGCAGTTTTTAAAAAGTCACATCATTGTTTTTTACCAAAGTACAAAAGCATCTTTGTTGAGACTGAAGGTGATGTAGCCGATAGCATATTGGGTTCAGATTCCCTCTCTGCTATGAAACAGACTGGGTGGCCTTAAATCAATCATAATTCTTACCCTAATTTACTTGATAGGTTTGTTCTGAAGATAACCTCACACACAGGGCTTTGAAATCCTCAGACAAAGAGCAGGAATGGAATGTGATAAATACAGAATAAATTAATTTGCTAGATCACATAGGTTAGGTCTAAGATTGTCTACTAGTCTTTGTCCTTATATAAAAGTTTATTTAATATCCTGACTTTAGAAAAAGGAGTCTGTTAAAAAAAAACAGACTTTGACTGGAGTTTTTAAAATTCTTGGACCTCACACCTACTTTGATATAAAGCTATTCACCATCCCCATCACCTTCAAGCCACCTAAATTTAAAGCCACTTAGCCCTTTTACATTCAAACATTTATCTTTCATTTGTTACCCATTGAGTTCTGGTGAGCCTATGAGGCACTGCTGTATTTTAACATCTGGGTTTGATTGTGTGCATTCTTTTAACCACAGTCACTTTGATCCATTCCAGATGTAGGATACCTAAAATTATATTTGCATGGTTAATAGTTTTGGGGAAAGTCCAGGTTTATATCCCCATACCTTAAAAGAAGAAAGATATAACTTGGAGTATATTTCATTAAGCTGTCAAATCTCAAGTTGAAACAGCTTTAACATGCAAAGTTAACTTGTATGCCATAGACATATATGGAAAAATATATTTTGATGTCATAAAAATACTAGTTTGGAACTCATTGTCATAATAGAGACGCTAGCTGAAGATTAGAATTCACAATAACCAAACATCCAACTTTCATACTTAGAGCAAGATGCTGGAGGAAAAGAGACGAGATGTGGAATATCATGTTAGGTTCTTGTTGACTTCCCAAAGCCATCTGAATCTTTTGGGGACTTGATGAATATAATTTTGGTTTGATCCAGCAAACTCAATAGAGCTATGTATAAATATTTTCTTGAAATTCTCAGCTGGTCACCATGATTTATACATTTTCTTTGAGAAGACAATCTGCAGATATCTTCTGCTATTTAATATAGTCGGAGCACATATGCAGTTCTTCACCCAGATAGAACTACACTAAGACTGGGCCAAAAAATTAATTTATCACAAATTCAGGCAGGCATTTTTAGAGGGAGTATGTGGATATTGGGGAGGTTCCAGGACAAAATGTGGGGTGTGTCTCCTCTTTTATATTTTGGGCTAGGTCTCATGATTTCGTGGGGAACATACTTTTGCTGTCAAGATCCATCTGACCACTAGTTTCCATACCTTTTTATTCCATAATGCCCTGT